ACTATACTAGGTTAATTTGTAAAGAAATTGCGTCAGAAATTGGTGGGTCTTGGTCTCACTGACTTCAAGAATGAAGTCGCAGACCCTCGCGCTGAGTGTTACAGTTCTTAAAGATGGCGTGTTCAGATGTGTTTGGAGTTTCTTCCTTCTGGTGGGTTTGTGGTCTTGCTGGCTGCAGGAATGAAGCTTCAGACTTTTCCGGTAAGTGTTAGAGCTCTTAAGGCAGCTCATCTGGAGTTGTTCATTCTTCCCAGTGGGTTCATAAGCTCACTGGCCTCAGGAGGGAAGCTGCAGACCTTTGCAGTCACCCTTATGGCTCATAAACGCTGTGTGGTTGCCACTGACTGGGGCAACCTGCTTTTATTCCCTTATCTGACCCCACCCACATCCTGCTGATTGGTCCATTTTGACAGAGAGCTGATTGGTCCATTTTGACAGAGTGCTGATTGGTGCATTTACAATCCTTTAGCTAGACAGAGTGCTAGACAGAAAAGTTCTCCAAGTCCCCACTAGGTTAGCTAGTTACAGAGTACTGATTGGTGTATTTACAAACCTTGAGCTAGACACGGTGCTTATTGGTGCGTTTACAATCCCTTAGCTAGATGTAAAAGTTCTCCAACTCTGCCACTAGACTCAAGAGCCCAGCTGGCTTCACCTAGTGGATCCTGCACCAGGGCTGCAGGAGGAGCTGCCCACCAGTCCTGAGCCGTGCCTGCACTCCTCAGCCCTTCTGCGGTGGATTGTACCAGGTGCCACAGAGTGTGGGGGCGGTGCCCGTCGGGGTGGGGAGTGGGCAGGGTCTTGGATATGACGGGCTGCAGGTCCTGAGCCCTGCCCCATTGGGAGGCAGTTGAGGCCCAGCGACAATTCGAGCTGGTGGGCCGCCAGTGCTGGGGAACCTCCACAGCTGCTGGCCTCGATGCTAAGCCCCTCACTGCCCTGGGCCAACGGTGCCGGCCAGCCACTCCAAGTGTGGCCTTGCCTTCCCCGCCAGAACTAGCACTGGCCTGTGAGGTTGGCGTGCAGCCCAGGTTCCTGCCCAGGCCTCTCCCTCCACACCTGCAAAGAGAGGGAACTGGCTCCACCCTCGGCCAGCCCAGAGAGGTGCTCCCACAGTGCAGTGGTGGGCTGAAGCGTTCTTCAAGTGCAGCCAGAGTGGATGCCGAGGCCGAGGAGTCGCAGAGAGTGAGGGCTGCTAGCACATTGTCACCTCTCAAAATGATAACTGCATAGTTTCTTTTAAAGAGACAGACCTTATTTTAAGGATTTTTACATTGAAGAATTCAAAAAGCAATACATTTTTGGGAATTTGTTGATTTGCATTTAAAAGGAACTGCTGACAAAGATTCACTGGTAATAATCTGAACAAGTTGGAAAATACAGTCAACACTATTGAAACACTACTAAAATAATTCCAGGACATAGTTTTATTCCACAGAACAAAACTTCTCAGATGCTGTCCTTGATGTGAAAATTGACTGCTTCTTTCTTTTCTTTCTTTTTTTTCCAGCTGCATCCATGTCCCTACAAAGGACAATAACTCATCCTTTTTTATGGCTGCATAGTATTCCATGGTGTATATGTGCCATATTTTCTTAATCCGGTCATAACAGTGTCTTATATGTAAAATGCTGTTCTTGCCTTTCATTTCAGAATATACTTTTTTAATGTGAATTTCTGGATTTTCATTTTATAGCATGTTTGTGTCATTAGTGAAACTGGAAAAGCAAAATACAAAACAAGCCTAAGATGAGAGTTCAAGTTGAGTTTGGAAATATCTGGAGTCCTATTGACATCCCCAGTAAAATTATCAATGTTCTAGTTCTATGGCCATCTGCTTAGGAGAGCTTTTTGTATGTATCTTCTAAGAATTGTATCTGTTTTGTAGTTTAATTTTGCCACTCAAAACATTCTGGTTTGTTGCTTTTTACACTTGTTATATACATTTTAAAAAGTAGAATCATAATATATGGTCCTTTGTCACTCACTATATTTTAAGCATGTTTCTGTGGCAGAAATACATCCTGACATCATCATTTTTAATATCTGGGTGTATGTTAAGTGAATCATTGGCACCCCAGAGCTGAATTTCCTTCTATGTACATTTTAATGGACTCAAGTAAGTATTTTTGCACTGAATTCATACAGTAGAATTTCTAGAGGAAAAGAATGTAAAACAGTTTTAAGATTTTTAAAAGAAATGTTCAAATTATCCTGTAGGAAAATTGGTTCAGTTTATACTCCCATCAACAGGGACAGAGCTCCAGGTTCCCCCTTCCATTTGTCATCTTTGCTGGTCTTTAGGCAGAAAATCTCATTGTTTTCATTACATTTCTTTGATTTCTAGTGCTTTTGAATCTTTTTCATATGCTTATAGGCCATTTTTATTACTGTGGGAAGTGCCAGTTTCTCCTTTGCTGATTTTCTGCTGGAAATCATTCATTTTTTTCTCTGAGTAATTTAAAATTTTTCTTTATCGGCTAAGGATACAAACCTTTAATCTGTCATTGAGGTTACAAAGACTTTCTCCCAGTACGTAATTTGTCATTTCGCTTTATTTTTTGCTAGCCAAGCACCAATGTCACATTTCACTTAATTTTTATCCTGCTGCATGAAAAAATTTTAACTTAGTGATTTTACTGGAAACAGGAGCAGGACAGAATGTAATATCTAGATCTCGCTCTGTCATCCCAACTGGAGTGCAGTGGCGTGATCATAGCTACTGCAGCCTCAAACTCCTGGGCTCAAGTGATTTTCCCACCTCAGCCTCCCAAGTAGCTCTAGGACTACAGGTGTGTGCCGCCATGCCCAGCTAATTTTTAAATTTTTTGTAGAGATGTGAATTTGCTATGCTGCGCAGGCTGGTCTTGAACTCCTGACTTACCCCACCTTGGCTTGCCAATATGCTGGGAGTACAGGCGTGAACTACTGCTCCCGGCCAAGAGCTTACTGTTTTTGCTAGAGGTGTTCTTGGTATCTTTTTATATCTGAGGCTTTCATGCTAGTGCTGAAGTATTACACTCACCATCTGAGGTTTACAGGACTTTTGTTTTAATATTGAACAGAAGGACCTGTTTAGTGCTGCATCTTTGCAGGTATACAAAATGTGCCTACCAGGACTCTGCTTTATATCCATTGAAAGCAAGAAGTGATACAGTAAAACTTTGCCTGGCTAGAAGCTTTGGGAGAATGGAGTGTTCTGGTTTAATTCTATTAACTTGGAAGGATGAAGGTGAAACAAATTCAAAACTTTAATTTCCTGTTGAATGCAATGTGAAAATATAGCCAGTGATTCCACCTTTCTTCTCTAGTAAGTTTCGACATTCAGATCTAGTTGGTCTTTTATCATAGAACTCCTAGTGTGCCTGAGTCTTACATTGTGAAGATCCTTTTCTAAAACTTTAGATGTAAGAGGATGTAAATGATACTGGATGAGATCAGGCTGGATGAGAACTGATATCTGTAAATATATGTTTTAGAAGAAATGTCTGATTGCCACTCGCTTTCTTATTGAACTCATAAAAGTAAAACACATTGGCTGGAGGGTGGAAGTAAGAAGGAGATTCATGTCTTTTAATTGCACGTCATTGTTTCATATCGAGACAGAACATATAGTATCCCTGGCTTTGGACCTACAGAAGGAAACACATTTTTCTACCTGCTGTATGCCAGCGGTTCCTGAACACCTGGAGGGCTTATTGCAGCGTGGATTGCTGGGCCCCACTCCAGAGTTTCTGATTCATCAGGTCTAGGGTGGGCCTGAGAATTTACATTTATAAGAAGTTCCCAGGTGCTCCTGGTCCAGAGACTATAGTTTTGAGAGCCACTCTTATATACTAACTATAAATTGTAGAACTCTAGAAAAAAGCTTAGTTTGGTCTGGCATAAGCAGCACACAGGTAATGGAGCAAATCATGAAAAACTCAACCCTTGATCCCAGGTAGCAAGCACTACACAGTGACAGAACACAACTCTTGGTTTTCATGATTGCAAGTCATAGCCAATCACTGAGAGAGAAATTCAGTTTCATTTTCAGGGCTTAGAGAGGCCAGGTGATTCTAGAAAAATAGGATTTAGTGATTAACCTCATGAGAGTAGGAGTTATTTATGTCCTTTTTCTCTCACGCATCACTTAGCATTTAGCCTTACTTTAGAGGGTCCTGTATTTGTTTTAAACTTGTAAAGACCTTTGAGTGTTTATTAAATGGAAAGCTTTGTGTGTATGTGTGTGTGTGTATGTGTGTGTGTGTATGTGTGTGTGTGTCCGTGTGTGTGTGTGTATGTATGTATGTATTTAGAGACAGAGTCTTGTTCTGTAGCCCAGGCTGAAGTGCAGTGGCATGATTTTGGCTCACTGCAACCTCCGCCTCCCAGGTTCAAGGATTCTCCTGCCTCAGCATCCCGAGTAACTGGGATTACAGGCACCTGCCACCATGCCCAGCTAGTTTTGGATTTTTCGTAGAGAAAGGGTTTCATCATGTTGGCCAGGCTGGTCTTGAACTCCTGAATTCAGGTGATACACCTGCCCCAGCCTCCTAAAGTGCTGGGATTACAGGCATGAGGCACTGCGCCTGGCTCAAAAGCTTTGTGTTTTTAAAGATATTATACATGTTTCTTTTTTTAAAAAAAAAAACTTTAACAATAAAGTACGAGAGTAAGCTTTTCCAAAAAAGAGAAATCATTGTGATTATATTATCTTATTGGAATGTTGGATAATACAGTCTGCTTTATCAATTATCAAGCACACTATAAAATTCCATTTTCATAGGATTTGTACCTCAATTGAGGTAATACAGTTTTAAAGTTTTTAAAGTGAAAGCCAGCCCACCCCTCTCCTGGAGTGGGCGGGGACAGCGGTTGCAGGGACAGCTTTCCTTGTGACACCACAGGTCCTTCATGACACGCCTCCTTTCTCTTTCATCTTTCTCATTGACCAATGGGCTTGAAGCATTAAGGCCACGCCCCTATTCTGCATTCTAGTGTGGCCCTGGTTACGCCTCCTCTGGCTCACACAGCTACCTGGTAGGTGACTGGAGGTGTATAGTTGTCCTTGCCTAGATCGTGCTGATGTGGCCCCAACCCCACCTCCCTACCCATCCCATGATGTCCAAAGAAACCCGACAGAACAAATTGGCCGAGGCCAAGCAAAAGGTAAAACGCGCCAGGTTGCAGCACCCCAACCCAGCCCCAGGTCCCCTCTGACAGTTGAACTGCTGCCAGAGTCTGTGTCACTCCTGAGGCACACTGGGCTGGGTGCTCCCAAGTGCCTCTGGGTTCCCCACACCAAAATCTTGTGAGTCAGCCCACTCCCCTCATGAGTCCTTCCCCTGCCCTCGCCAGTCACCCCAGGGCAACTTTGAGCTGGTGACTCCTGGGGCTTCCCTCTCCACACTCTGCCCTTACCTTCTGCTATCCCAAACCCAACCTCCATGGGCTCTTTGGGCTCATGTCTCCAAGGACCTGGGTGCCCCAGAACCTGCCCTCATCAGTTGCCCCAGGGTGACTTTGGGCATGTGACTCCTTGGGCTCCCTGCTCCACATTCGGCCCTCACCTCCCACCGCCTCAAGCCTGACCTCCCTGGGCTCTTTGGGCTCCTGTCTCCAAGTACCTGGGTCCCAATCCAGCGACCCCCTCCCCAATCTCAAAGCGACAACTTGGGCATTGCTCTCATGTGTCCCCCCTGCCACTCCACCGAGGAGTGGAATGTAGTGATTTCACAGTCCCCCTAGGAACTATCATGGCCACAAGACCTGCCTTTGGTCTTAGGACCTGGTCCCCTAAGTATTTTTGCCCATTTCTGATTCCTCTTGTTGTAGCACAGGTTTCCAGCTGGATGGGGAATGGGGACCATGGGACCTAGGGGAGAGAGGTTTCAGGCTGCCTTACTTCCTTAACACAGACATTCACAGTGTGAAAAGGCTACACCTCCCCCATCAGTTCAACACATTGACAGTGTCAATGGGAGAACGGGTTTGGTTTGGTTTTCTCCCAGGCTTCTACTCTCCAGAGAGACTTTAACATTGTTTCTGAGTTCTCCACCTCAGACTTGAATTCTCCATTGTTCTGGGACCAGAGTGCCCCTCAGTCAGTGGTTTCTAGAGTGAGATCTGCCTATCTTCTGTGGAACAGATATTGGGAAACTGAACTTGACAGCTTCACTCTTCCTCATCTCATCTCCACCTGGGGTACTTTGAGTGCCACAGGATAAATATGGGGCATCTTTCTGAAGCATCAGTTTCCCTTGATTCTATTGAGAGACAAAACATTAATGTACTTAGGGGTGACAGTCACATAGATGTATAAAAGTATACAAGACTTCTGTCTGAGAGGAGGGTTGGGTTGTCCTCTTTCTGTTAAATTCCCAGATTTCACAGAAAGGCTGCCTTCTGCCATGAGGATACATTAATATAAAGTTTGAGAGGTAGTGGTGCCCTTCTTCACACTAACAGACGTGTGAGGGTGTATGACTCTAAACCATTCCTGCCTACTTAATATTTGCTTTTTTACCTCTGCCTCTGGTTTTCATCCCTGGCAGCTGCTGAGTTGTGGCAAAATCACAGAGCTCAGAGCCAGAAGACTAAGTTTAAGTTCCATTATTGCCTTTTGTTCAGCCATGGTATCAATCCCTCTCAGTCACTAAGTGATTGTGACAACACTTTCTACAGTTGTTGGTGGCATTAAATGAGATGGTGCATTAGAGTATTTTGTATAAACTGTAAAGCGGGATGTGACTGTAGGAGCTTGTAGTTCTCATGAGTATCACTGCTCTTCCTTTCCACAGTTGAGAGACTACCATCCCCAGGCCAACCCTAGTGTTGGTACAGGAGCAAGCGACACCAAAACGAAGAACATAAATAATGGTGCTAACCCTGAGACAACCACTTCTGACGGTTGCCACTCACCTGAGGATGTGAGTCTTGGCTGGGAGGCTCCTGGGGACAGAGGGCCCAAGGGGTGGTGGAGGGTAATTGTTAAGATTGTGGAAGAACTCCCAGGCACTGCTTAAGAATTCTGGGTTTGAATCCTCTCCATTCTGCTGGGGATATGATTTAGGACAAATTGCTTAAGCTCTTTGGGCTTCATTTTTCACATCTGTAAAATAGGAGTGGTGTGGTTTTACTTACATTTGTGAAGTTTAAATGAGATTCGTCATTGCAGTTTTTATGTTAATCCCTAGTCCACGGCCTGCTGTAAACTCTCCTTCTCGGGCTTGCATTTCCTGAGGCAGAGTTAGAGAGTATCAGAGGTGTCTGTTAGCTCTGAGAGTCTGAGAATTAAAGGCCCACTAGAATGGAAACCTTGGGACTGAGGACTCCTGTCTGCCTTTTCCGTCCTATACTCCCGCTGTCAAGAACCGTCCCTGGCCCGTATGTGCTCAGTCAGTGTTTGTTGAATGAATGCACCTTTCTAAATCACAAGCTGGCAGAAGGGTGGCCTCTTCTCACACTCCATCTCTGAAGGTTTCTGTGACTGTCTTTTTGAGAGAATCTAGTTTCAGACTTTCAGTTCTGTGACTGTGGGCAAAAACCAACAAAGACCAAAATCCTTTATCTTTGGGAGTTGAGGAGAGTTTATCAGCTCGTGTTCCCATTGAGTCTGAGAACTTTGCCTTTAAAATCCATCCCTGGCCCCTGCCTACCACTTCCTGACCTGGGGAATAGAGTCGAAGGGGCCACCCTCAGTCACCTTCCTTTGACTCTCTCCACAGAAACAACAGAACCGAGCTCAGCTGGAAGAAGTAACGTGATTTCTTTGTTTGCTCACATGACTGCTGGGTTTGGAGGACACTCAGCTGTAGAGGCCCCAGTCTCGTCTCACCCACTCCCAGCCTGGGGAAGAAGGCACACCCCCCAGATTCCACCCCATGCACACAGGGTCCCTGATAACCTGGTCCCATGGGTGGGCCTGTCCTGGGGCAGTGGTGCCGTTCTGGGGGCATGTCTCTTGCTGTGCCATCTCTGCCTCCCCGTAGTAAGAGCTCTGTCTTCCTCTTTCTATAGGAAAAGAAGGCAAGCCACCAACATCAGGAAGCCCTAAGGAGGGAGCTAGAGGTGAGTGGAGGGTGTGAAGTTCCCTCCTGTCCTCTGGAGAAGGTTTCTTTGCTTCTCTTTCAGCACTTGCTTGTCTTTTCTCCCAAAGGCCCAGGTTCATACCATACGAATCCTTACATGTGAGAAAACTGAGCTTCAGACGGCACTCTATTACAGCCAGCGTGCTGTCCAGCATTTGGAAGGTGGGAATCTGGCACCCGGTCATCCTTCAACTTGGCACTTTGACAGGCCTTTAGGGGGAGTCCTTTGGGCCGCATCTGAATGTCTCTCATTCCAGGAGAGTCCAGGCATCTGGTTGGCCGCCTGCATGATTCATGGAAGTTTGCCGGAGAGTTAGAGCGGGCTCTCTCTGCTGTCGCTACACAGAAGAAGAAGGCTGACAGGGTGAGTCCAACCCCCTGCCCCGTCCCCTGGGAGCCCAGATTCACAGATGGAGGAGTGAGCCTAAAAGTTCCTTCTGCAGGATGGAGTGTCCTGCCCAGAAGACAGCATGGCCATTTCTTGCTGCTTTTGTGTGTGGTGGTTAGAGGCAGCCTGGGGCTGAGTCGGCTGCTGTGGGTGAGTTGGGGGGTGCCGTGGGGAGTGAGCACTGGACATAGAGCTCGCAGGCCAAGTGCCCGCCCTGCCCATACTTGGCTGTGGCCTTGGCCAAGTCCCAAGTGGCGGTTAGGATACTGGTACCATAAAGGTACAGAAGAGTATGTTGAGTACGTTGTTATCTGTGTTGAGAGAAGGAGAACGTGTGTGTGTGTGTGTGTATGTGTATTATGGTAATATACAAAAAACATGTTTGTAAGGATCATAAAAATATCAGGAGAGAGGAAGAATGTGGGGGGAAATATTTCCCTTCCGTACTTTCCGAGTTTTGGACTATTCAAACGTATCATCCTTTCAAAAAGTCAACAAATGATTAATTTCCTCCTTCTTATCTGTGTCCCTACCCCAGCAAAAGAATGGGCTTAGAGAATCAGATATACCTGGGTGTTGAAGTACCAGCTGTAAGTGATCTTAGGCAAGCACTTAACCCTTAATACCCCATGTTTTTCATCTACACAATAGAGGTAATAATGGTAACCGTCTCCTATGGAGGTTGTGAGGATTAAATGGGACTGTTAGCGCAGTGCCTGGTGAAGCACTCAGTAAAGGTTCCAACAGTGGTAGTAATAACAGTAAGAACAATAGCAATACCATCTGATGTCTCTGGGCCCCTGCTAGCCAGCTATGAATTCAGTCTCTTTCCCTGTCCCTTCCACCTTTACTGAGTTCTTTGAAAAACAAATGAGGGCCAGGTGCTCTGGCTCATGCCTGTAATGCCAGCACTTTGGGAGGCCAAGGCGGGCGGATCATCTGAGGTCAGGAGTTTAAGACTAGACTGACGGACATGGAGAAACCCCATCTCTACTAAAAATACAAAGTTAGCCGGGTGTGGTGGCACATGCCTGTAATCCCAGCTAATTGGGAGGCTGAGGCAGGAGAATCGCTTGAACTCGGGAGGCGGAGGTTGTGATGAGCTGAGATTGCACCATTGCACTCCAGCCAGGGCAACAAGACTGAAAATCTGCCTGAAAACAAACAAACAAAAAAAAGTAAGAAAGACACAAAACAAAAAAAGAAAACCAAAGGAGACCCTGGGCTTGGAAGTGCCTTGAGAGCATGTCAGGTGTGACTGGGAGTGGGGAGTGGTGTGTGGAGTGGTCACGGTGGCTGTTGTTCCTGGTCGGCCAGCCGCTCCTCTGCCTGCTCTATCCTGACTTCACCTTTCTCTATTTGCAGTACATCGAGGAGTTAACAAAGGAGAGGGACGCCCTGAGTCTGGAACTGTACAGGAACACGTAGGATGGGGGATGGTGGGATGGGAAGTCTGGGGGCTCTTAGCGTGGGGGGTGTGCTGGGAGGTGGGGGTACAGGTGAGCATGGTGAGAGGCTCATACAGGTTTTCATGGGTGCACAGGGAAGCTCTAGTGCCGGCTGTGCCACTGACTCATGGGGTAGCCTCAGGCAACTCATGTCTTCTCTCTGGCCTGCCACCTGTGATTTTTAATTCCTGGGGTCCCATCCAATGCCACGGTTCTGTGGTTGTGGGGTGAAAGTAGAGGGTTGATCACCAAAGCGGTCCTTTCTGTTCTTCGTTCATTCCTTTATCTACTGCCTCTGGCCATAGCATAACTGATGATGAGCTGAAGGAGAAAAATGCCGAACTACAAGAAAAACTTCGACTTGTAGAATCTGAGAAGTCTGAGATCCAGCTCAATGTAAAGGAGCTAGAAAGGAAGCTGGAGAAGGCCAAGCTCCTGCTGCCACAGGCAAGCAGCTACAGCCCCGGGGGTTGTGGGATCCCCGTCCGGCTGGGACCATGGTCTAGGGATCATGCAGGATATGGGGAGGTTCCAGCCAAGAGCTAGAAAATTGGGGTCCTTGTTCTGGTCCTGCCATAGAATCCTCTAGAGTGTGCTAAAAATCTACAAAGTGGGGCCCTGCCTGGGAATCAGAATCTCAGAGTTAGGGCTTAAAAATATATATTTTAAAGGATCATGGGTGAAAACCATTGTTTGATAGATTACATTTATATGACTATCCCATGAGTCTGTTTCCTTCTGAGGTTCAAACCAACACTTTCACTGTTCCAGCAGCAGCTGCAGGAGGAGGCTGACCACCTGGGTAAGGAGCTGCAGAGTGTGTCCGCGAAGCTCCAAGCCCAGGTGGAAGAGAACAAGTTGTGGAACCGCCTGTACCAGCAACAGGAGAGAAGATGTGGAGGCAGGAAGAGAAGATAAGGAGCAGGAGAAGAAGAGAGATAGGAGAAGATAAGAGAGGAGAAGATGCACACACAGGAGGAGAAGACACGGGAGCAGGAGAAGAGGAGGCAGGAGCAGGAAGAGAAGATGTGGGAGCAGGAGGAGAAGATGCATGTGCAGGAGGAGAAGAGGCAGGAACAGGAGGAGAAGATGTGGAGGCAGGAGGAGAAGATATGGGAGCAGGAGGAGAGGGAGCAGGAGGAGAAGATACAGGAGCAGGAGAAGAGGAGGCAGGAGCAGGAGAAGAATATGTGGAGGCAGGAGGAGAAGATACGGGAGCAGGAGGAGAAGATACGGGAGCAGGAGGAGAAGATACGGGAGCAGGAGGAGAAGATGTACGAGCAGGGGGAGAAGATACGGGAGCAGGAGGAGAAGATGTGGAGGCAGGAGGAGAAGATACGGGAGCAGGAGGAGAAGATACGGGAGCAGGAGGAGAAGATGTGGAGGCAGGAGGAGAACATACAGGAGCAGAAGGAGAAGATGTGGAGGCAGGAGGGGAAGATGCGGGAGCAGGAGGAGAAGATGCACAAGCAGGAAGAGAAGATACAGGAGCAGGAGAAGAGGAGGCAGGAGCAGGAGAAGAATATGTGGAGGCAGGAGGAGAAGATGCACGAGCAGGAGGAGAAGATACGGGAGCAGGAGAAGATGTGGAGGCAGGAGGAGATATGTGAGCAGGAGGAGAAGAAGCGGGAACAGGAGGAGAAGATGTGCAGGCAGGAGGAGAAGATACACGAGCAGGAGGAGAAGATACGGGAGCAGGAGAAGAAGAGGCAGGAGCAGGAGGAGAAGATGTGGAGGCAGGAGGAGAAGATACGGGAGCAGGAGGAGAAGATACGGGAGCAGGAGGAGAAGATGTGGAGGCAGGAGGAGAACATACAGGAGCAGAAGGAGAAGATGTGGAGGCAGGAGGGGAAGATGCGGGAGCAGGAGGAGAAGATGCACAAGCAGGAAAGAAGATACAGGAGCAGGAGAAGAGGAGCAGGAGCAGGAGAGAATATGTGGAGCAGGAGGAGAAGATGCACGAGCAGGAGGAGAAGATACGGGAGCAGGAGAAGATGTGGAGGCAGGAGGAGATATGTGAGCAGGAGGAGAAGAAGCGGGAACAGGAGGAGAAGATGTGCAGGCAGGAGGAGAAGATCACGAGCAGGAGGAAGATACGGAGCGGAGAGAGAGGAGCGGGAGGATGGGAGGCAGGAGGAAGATACGGAGCAGGAGGAGATGTGGAGCAGGGGAGGAGGAGGAGGAAGATACGGAGCAGGGAGGGAGGAGGAGAGGGGGGAGCAGGAGGGAGGGGAGGGAAGCTGCGGGAGCAGAAGGAGATAATGCAGGAGCAGGAAGAGATGATGCAGGAGCAGAAGGAGAAGATGTGTGAGCAGGAAGAGAAGCTCCGGGAGCAGGAGGAGAAGACGCAGGAGCAGGAGGAGAAGATATGGAGGCAAGAGGAGAAGATATGGAGGCAGGAGGAGAAGATGCAGGAGCAGGAAGAAAAGCTGTGGGAGCAGGAGAAGAAGATGTGGGAGCAGGAGGAGAAGATGTGAGCAGGGGAAGTGCAGGAGAGAGGAGCAGAGAAGATGGGCAGGAGGATGGAGAAGGATGCAGGAGGGAGCGGGAGGAGGAGGATGGGGGAGGGCGAGGTGTGGCAGCAGGAGAAGAAGATGCAGGAGCAGGAGGTGAGGCTGCAGGAGCTGGAGGAGAGGCTGGGGGAGCTGGGGCAGAAGGCCGAGCTTTGGGGGAGCAGGCGGAGGTGGGTGCAAACCCTGGAGATCATACAGAACGCCCTCACCACAACTTAGCAGATGGTGGTTGGCTCCCTCTGCTTTTCCACCAGTCTGTGGCCTACAGTTTAAATGGCAGGAAGAAGGGTGTGACATTTGAGGCTGCGGAGGGAGGCATGGGCCTCTAGGCAAGGGAGGCAGTCACTTAGAGACCTGGAAGAGGGGGCCAGGGTCCTGGGCAGATGACAGAACCCCACAGTGCCCTCGCCACCCTGTTTATGGGCCCAGAATCTGGAAGCCAGCCACTACCTACCCTGACGCCTATCCTGCAAGTTTAGCTGAAGAGCCAAGAGGCTCAGAGTCTGCAGCAGCAGCGAGACCATTCCCTGGGTCACCTGCAGCAGTACGTGGCCGCCTATCAGCAGCTGGCCTCTGAGAAGGAGGCTCTGCCCAGCTGCAGCAGCAGGAAGCTCAGGGCAAAGCGGTGGCCGAGGTGGCCCCCAATAGTTGCAGGAGACCCAGTTGAAGGAGCTGATGAGGGTGGGACCCCGAGGGGGATGACCTGGCAGCCTCCGTGCCTTCTCACTCTCTTTTCTGGTCCCTTAGGAGCACCTAGAAGCTGACATCTACCGAGCACATGACAAGAAGGCAAAAACAATAAACATGTAAAAGCCGGCAGAAGGCCTGGAGAAGAGTCAGCCGCCATGTGACTGTTTAGAATATAGTCTGAGCCCAAACCTGAAAAAAAAAACCAAAAATTTATTTATTTTAAATTGAGGCAAAATACTGGTCAGGCACGGTGGCTCATGCCTGTAATCCCAGCAATCTGGGAAACTGAGGTGAATGGACCACCTGAGGTCAGGAGTTCCAGACCAGCCTGGCCAATACAAAAATTAGCCGGGCATAGTGGCACATGCCTGTAATCCCAGCTACTTGGGAGGCTGAGGCAGGAGAATCGCTCGAACCTGGGAGGCAGAGGTTGCAGTGAGCTGAGATCATGCCACTGCACTCAAGCCTGGGTGACAGAGCGAGACTCCTTCTCCAAAAAAAAACCAAAAAAAAGTTTCTTCATTATCTTCCTTACATGTATGTTTCTATTGGTTTTTTTCTTGTATATTTCTATTGTTTTTTTTCTTGTTCTTTCTCATTTAGTCTTGTCTTGTCTTATGGTGTTCCTAGTAAACTTTTATCTGCCTCCAGAGAGTATTGACTTTGACTTTATGGCACACAATTGGAGTAAGTGCAGATCACCTTCATCTAGTTTGGGACTAAGCTGGTTCAAAGCAGGCCTTAGTTTTTGTGACGGCTGGTCTATTTTTTATTCATTTGGACTCCTAGGGGTGGCCCTTCCAGGGTCCCCACCAAGGTCCCATCTCCTTACTGGGACCCAAATTCTCATGAGGTCATTTCAGCCCTGTGAGTGCCAAACATTCAGCTAGGCTCTCCAGCCTCTTAACCACCACTTCAGACTCAGTTTCTTAACCTCTTAGCCCTCTACTGTTCACCAATCTCCAATGTGGGAAAAGTACTACAGACTGTCGGGGTCACCTCCTAGGCCTGGTCACTCAAGTCCTGACTGAGGTTTCCAATTACCTTCAAACAGTTGTTTTTGGTGGTGGGGGCACATTTTTGTCCAGTTTCTCTTAACTGCTTTTGTGGGGAGGCTAATCTATAACAAGCTACTCTGCCTTTAGTGAAAGTTGAAAACCGTCATCTGTCTTTTTTTTTCTTTTGAGATGGAGTCTCGCTCTGTTGCCCAGGCTCTAGTGCAGTGGCGTGATCTCTGCTCACTGTAACCTCCGCCTACTGGGTTCAAGCAATTCTCCTGCCTCAGCCTCCCGAGTAGCTGGGATTACAGGCCTGTGCCCCCATGCCTGGCTAATTTTTATATTTTTAATAAAGACAGGATTTCACCATGTTTTCCAGGCTGGTCTCGAGCTCCTGACTCAGGTGATCTACCCGCCTCAGTCTCCCAAAGTGCTGGGATTACAGGCGTGAGCCACTGTGTCTGGCCCATCTGTCTTTTAAAAAATGTTTTAAATTTGAAGTATAATTTATATTCAGTGAAATGCACAGATCTGGTATATATTTTCATCAATTTTAATAAATGCATTACCCATGTATCCCACCTCCTTTGAAGATATAGAACATTCCTATCATCCAGAAGGTTCTCCTGTGCTTTAACCCTGTCCGGCACTCCCCCAGCAGCTGATGAACGTGCTGACGACATTGGTACAGGATTCTGGCCTCCCCAAAAGAGCTGCTTTGAGAAGCCTGCTTGCCTTACCCAGCACTAAGTCCCTGCCTGCTCTCTCAAGATTTCCATCTTTAAACTGGTTGTACCTATAACCCTCCCTGGTCAAGTCAGTAGATAAACCCTAAAAAAAAACACCCCTTCCTGGCCCAGCAGCCACAGCCTAATCTTTCCTGTATCCCAAACTATCAGACATGTCACTCGCCGGCTGGTTCACCCTCACTAGGGTGGCAGCTGTACAGGAGCAGCTGGGCTCACCCGTTAAGCAAGAAGCCAATAGCTGGACAGTGACACTCAGACCCCAGCCTGGGTGAGCCTGGCTGAAAGCCCCCTTCTTTCTGGTCTGACTGTGGGGAGAGGGGGCGGAGCATCCACAACTCTACTGCCTCCACCTTCACTGCCCTCCTGGGACGGAGCTGTTCATTCATTTGGCCAAAGCCTTCTTGAGGGCTGTAGGTTTGACAGGCTGGGTGTGTGGGGGCCACCATGCTAGAGAGAGAGGCTGGTGTGTCAGAAGGCAGCCACCTGGCCAGAGGAGGGTCAACCCCCTTGGTGACCTCCTTCCCCTGGCTGGACACAGCGCCCTGCACTCTCCACATGTGACTGCTCCCCTCAGAGCCACTTCCAGGGGAGGGGTTCTAACCCTGTGGGTGGGGACACTGTGTTAGTTTACAGTGGGCCATGGCTCCCTCTGACATCTCCAACTCCGAGGCAGTGGAGAGAAGATGAGGAATTCCCTGCATATCCTCCTTCCTAAGCACCCACCTCTGCACACATCCACATACGGAGACCCTGACGGTGGTCTCTGGGAGTGCCGCCATCTGCGCCTCCTTTCCATGCCTGCAGCAGCCATGCCCACTCTCCAGACCCTCACCCACCTGGCTCAGTAGGGGCTGCACTGCCTGGGGTCCTGCCCCTATACCTGGGCCTCTGTACCCATCAGTTCCCCCAGTCTGCTTCTTATTTCCCCCAACAAGTAGGGAGCCTGTAAGGTCACCTGCTGAGCAAGCTGGGGGAGAGAGTAGGGCCGGGCTGGGAGGATGAGGAGGAGAAGCTTATGGTCGTGCTGGAGACTCAGTGGAGCAGAGTCTATGCAGGCCCATTGGCTGCCTAGCCAGTGGTGATCCCGCTCCCACCCTCACTTCTTTTTTGTTAACAAAACCGTGGACTCATTAAATATTGGAAACCTATAAACCTCATGGACCCTCCTCCAGCCTCCCCGCCATGTATTGGTGAGTCTAAGTCAACTCTAGTCATTTCATTCCTCTGGACACTGATTGCCTGGGGCTTGGGCATGAGCTGCCTCTTCACCTGAGCCTGAGCCACACGTGTCCTCTGCACCTACCAACTGATGCACTGGGCCAGGGAGAGCTCCGTATCGATGGAGATGAGCTGTGAGGAGCTGGTGGCCCGGCGGATCAGGTTGTTGTAATGTGTTTTGTTCAGAGGGTCGTCCATCAGCTTCTGCTCGGCATGGACCATGCAGCAGTCCCCTGGCTAAACACACAGACATGCTGGGCCCTTGTGCAACTGTCCCCCACTGCAGCTGACAGCTATGAAGCGGGAGCTGAGAGGGCCAGGGAGCACAGGTACCCCAAGGGCCGGCTGAAGCAGTGAAGATGCTGGGGGGTCTGGCCCTCCCTGGGAACTTCAAATGACATTCATGACAGAGCTCAGTTACCTCCTCCCATGCCTCACCTCTTCCTCCTCCTCCTCCCTCGATCAATGAACAGCATCCCACGCTCCACACATCTGAGACAAAACTGGGTGTCTCTTCCAGACTCCTCCCTCAGTTCATCCAAGTGGCCACCAAGTCCTGTCTGTCCTCCCATCTCCACGGCTGCAGCCATGTCCCTGCCTCCCCCGCCCTGTCCACCTTCTGTTCTCTCCACCCGCACTCTGTCCCCACCATCCATGTGCCATACAGTGGCAGACTGGTCTTTCTACAGCACACTGGACTAGCGCCCTTCCCTGCCCACAGCTCTCAGAGCTGGAGGTGGAGTTGAAACTCACGGTTTGACATTCAGAGCTCTTTTCCCCTCGGCACTGGCTTATCCAGAGTGCTCACAGTGCGGGGCAGGAGCCCCTGACTCAAATGTGGGTTTGGTGCTGAACTGGGTCTGAGGTGGTGCTTTCCCTATGAAGAGACAGGGCTGAGATGCGGAGCTTTTCTGGGTTCAGAGTTAGACCCACAGAGTGCAAGGTTTCTCTGAGGCACCAAATGGAGGGTCCAGCTGGCAGCTGGCTCCTGGTCTGGAGCTTCAAGGAGAGGTGTCAGCTCAGAGCCACATTTAATAGCCAGCTGAAATGCAGCCTCCTGCAGGGAGCTCCTGGAGCTTCCACAGCCTCAGATCTGCCCCTCTGCATATCCCAGAGCCCTTGCCAAGTGGCGTTTGGTTCTTCATGTCATCTCCCTCCCATGTCCGGGAGTAAAGGTGAGGTGCAGGGACTTGAGCTTGTGTACTCTGGTGTCTTAATGGAGAATGTGTCAAGTAGAGTGGAGGTGGCTTGGAAAGAGGGAGACTCAGAGGAGAGTGAAGGACACTGACCAGGCGAG